ATCAACTGCAATTCCTGTTAAGTGCTACAACAGAGGTTAGTACAAAGTGTTTTTGGGAACCCAAGGGAGCGAGCACCAAAGAAACTGGCTCCATTGCCTCTCCATTTCTGTCGAGGGGAAATGGCCCATCAATCTTGGCAGGAGCAAAGGCAGAAGCTTGACAATGGAGAGATCTTCCCACTCTAAGGAACGGGATGCAAACTATTAAAGGGACTGTGAAAATGACTTAGTGCTGAATGGAACAGGAGTGGAGTGGGGTGGGTTGTGTTGCTGACGAGGAAGAAGGAGAGGAGAGCAGAAGAGAATGTGGTGTACACTGGCTGATGTATCCAGGAGTGTCTCTGGTGTCCTTTCCCCTGGCCCCGCCCTTCCTCTGTCCTATTTTGCTGTTCCATTGAACACTCCATGGGTCTCATCCTCTTTCCTTAGTATGTCATGCCATACACAGAGGGGCCAACAGCACACACATGGTCACTTCTTCTCGATGTGGAGGTGTGTAGTTCTCCTCGGGTCTAAGGATGCGCCTCAGGCCCCTCACCAGCACTAGAACCACATGGTGTCACCTGGTCTCTCTCGTTACACCCTCATGCTAACTCAAAGTGCCCTTTGCCTCAGCTGCTCTCTGAATGTGCCACCACACTGTCCCTGGCTGTGCCCTCTATGGTTCATTTAACAAACATGTGTCTAGCACTGATTCAGAAACCTTTGCTTTTATGTACAAGAAGAATGAATGAGTTGCACAGTGTTTGTGGGACAATGGACTCAAGGAAGAGAAAGCATACTGTTCTACACAACCATCCAACCACCATCATTCCATCCACCCCTCTATCCATCCATCCACTCACCTACCTACCCATCCATCCCTCTCTCTACTCATCTACATACCCACTTATCTATTCATCTCCCCTTCTACACATCCATACAACCACCATCATTCTGTCCATCCATCAACCATCCATCCGTCCATCCATCCATCCATCCATCCATTCACCCATCCCTCTATCTATCCTTCCATATATTCACCCACCCATCCATCCATCCCTCGTCCATCCACTATCCATCCATCCATCCAACCACCAGTCCTTTATTTACTCAACACACACTGAGTTCCTACAATGTGTCAGGATCCATTATGGCGGTGACCATTTTAAAGGGGAGACACTGGGCACAGATGTGCAGGAGCTGACATTGGGAGGTGGCTGTGGGGCTGGTGGAGACAGAATATTCAGGGCCCCAAGAGTTTCTGAGAAGCAGCAGGGCTGTGGGAGCTGAGGACCCCAGCTGAGGCCAGGACAGGGTCAGGGTGGCCAGCATGGGGACATTGCTGTCCCACAGGAGCAGGAGTGGGAAGCACTGGGAAGCGCTCCAGGCTGGGACAGGGCTTAGTGGCCTGGAGCCCCCAAAGCTTCAGTGACAGTGGAGCTGGGTAATCACGGATCAGGTTCCTGTCTTGTATGGAAAGTGGAGGCTGCATACTTCGCTGCATGATGGAGTATGAGGATTTCAGTGTGAAGACAGGAGCTACAGGGCTGGTGGGAGATAAAAGGCGAGTGCGCCCAGAGTGGAGGATGCCAGACCTGGAGAGGACAGCTCACTGGCCAGTGGGGAGGGGAAAGGAGATGAACGCTGAGCAGGAGGACCAGCCAGAGCAGAGTCCCGGGAATCAGGTGAGGGAGGACTTGCAAGGTGCAAGCGGAATGGGCTTCAGCAGGGAGAGTGAGGGCCAGGACAGCACGAGGACAAGGGTCACCTGACAAGTGTGGGAGGCCTGACACAGTTGATCCAGGGGAGCAGGATGGAAGTGAGACAGCTCCCTCGTGCACAGGGAGTACCAGAGGATGAGCTCCTTTCTGCACTCCAGGGACAGGGAGGCCAGGGTGTACCTGATCCGGGTGGAAGGCGAGGGACTCAGGGCTGGGCTTAGTGAAGAGGGTTGGGGGCACGTGGATGCCCCCTTTCCCCTCTGGAGAGCGTCGGATGTTGGCCAGTGCACCTGGAAGGTAAACTCCTTCTCAGGACCGTGCTTCTGAGACTCCTGCCCTCCCCCACCCCACCCCACGTCAGCGAGATCGCGGAGGAGTTCGCGCATGCGCGTCGCTTCTGTCTGCCAGGATCCCGTCTGCAGGAGGCCTCGCGGTGACAGAGGAAGCAGACTGTTTGCCATTGTTTATTTGACAAATGTGACTCAGAATTCAATAAGTTATCTTTCAAATTATCCTGTCAAAGTAATCCCGACACAGGATGATGATAAAGGGGCTCTCTGGAGGAAGGATGGGTGTTTGCAGGGAGCAGCTGTCCCTGCCTCTGTGGGGCTGGGTCTGTGGGAAATGAGCCCCCCAGGGCCGAGTACAGGCACACAGCCCTGCCCGCCCCCCACCGCCCGGCCTGCACCTGGGCTTTGTGCTCCGAAAACATGGAAATAACCCCGGGGCATGCCCGTCCTGGGTTTTATGAGGAGCAACTACAACACAGAATCCTTTGCTGTGTCCGGCTAGCACTGGGGTGGGGGTCTGCTTAAAGCGCCTGGAATTTGAAGCCTGAGGGGCTCCCTTCACACCGAGCCCTGCTACCTCTGTGTCCTAATCTGAGGCTAATTTGAGGGACAGCAACCCCCCCACCACGTCCCGGTCTTCAAGTGAGGGGCTGCAGGGCCCCTGCCTGGCTTCTGGCTGGCCCCAATTTCTGCTTGGGTCCTGGATGTTCTCTCTGCTGTGTTTTGTGAGCCTCTTCTGGGACCTAAGTGTGAGCACCTGGGTTTAGGTAGAGAGTGAAATTCAAAGGCTGAGGGCTGGGGATTTAGTTCAGTGGTTCTGCTGCCTGCCCTGCAAGCACAAGGACCCTAGTTGGATCCTCAGTACCAAAAAACAAACAAACAACACCAACAACAACAACAAAAGAAATTCAAAGGCTGGGAGATGAGGCTGGCCACGTAGGGAGGGGCTCCCCAAGTTTTCATAGAGCAGTAGTAATTATCAACGACCACTGTTGTTACCACTGATCCTAACCAGTGCCGATTACCTCCCCTGCCAACTTCTTCTTTAAGTGGGTTCGTGTGGATTCAGCGCATTAAACTTGGGAGTCTGCCGGGGAAGATGCTGCCATGCTCCCCACTTTGCAGACGAGAAAGCTGAGGTGCAGAGGTTAAACTGCCCAGGTCATGAGGCTTGAAAGGGGCAGACCCAGCACACCTGCAGCTATGGCTTTGGGTAATTCAGAAGGAACCTGCTGATTCTAAGGTAGAGAGCGATTGGAGAGCCATGGCTGAGGTCTTCAGCTTGGGCAAGAGAAAGGAGCCGGTGTCGGGGACAGCTGGGAGGGAGAGAGAGCCAGAGAGGCTGCGTCAGCTGTCTGATGACTGACTTCAGGATGAGGCCCAGGAAGCTAGGGTGGCAGGATGCGCCCGGGGCCTGCTGCAGGTGAGGGTGATCAGGACAGCTAATCACTCTTACTGGGGACGGAGGAGGGCAGGACTGAGTTCTGGGTTCATGGAATTTGAGAAACAGGTGGGACCCTCGGGCGGACCCAGTGGTGGCCCTCTAGATGCACCCACAGTTAGGGGACCTCATGGACAGTAAGACAGGCACCACCCACAGAGCAGGGCAGTGCACACCGCCAGCGAGGACTTACCTTTGGGAGTAAACCGTGGGCAGAGCCAAGCTGTGGGCTGGAGATGGCACTGCATGCCGGGAGGACAGAGGAAGGCCGAGGGTGGCAGGGGCTAGATGACCCAGGAAGGGGGCCTTGGAATCGCAGTGGTTTTTGTAGTTAGGTTCATGGCTTTCCTAAAAGACTCCACTTACCAAATGGCTTTGGCACTAAACATGACCACACAGTCCCAACTTTAGAAAGTGGGATGTGAGAAATTGTATGTATAGCTCTCAAATGTTACTTTGTTTCCATGCCCTTGGTCCTAGGGACTGGAAAGCAGGTACATTTGCAGGAGCTGTGGCAGCCACCTTAGGTCCTGAGTTAGAAGCCACACATTGATGGTTTTGGCTCACTGAGATAGAAGGAACAGGGAACCTGATGGCAGTAGATTTATGATGTCAGCCCTGAAACACCAGCTCAGACTTTTAAGTGAAAATAGGTAAAAGGTTTATCTTATGTAAGGCACCTATATTGTGTCTTTTAGGAGTTTTAGTTCCTCTGTATCCTAACAAATATAAAAACCTAGAGACAGCTGTCATGAATCCAAGTGTATTTATAGTGACACAGTTACAAGTTGTGGTAATACATCCTAAATTACTGGTTTACTTTTTAATATAAAGGAAACATCAACCCATGTGGTGCAGAAGTCTAGGTTAGAACTTCTGGAGTGGCTAGATCTGGGTCCCCGGGGATTATCATCAGTTCCCCATGACAGACCTCCAAGCCCTGTCTTCAGGAGGTGAAGCTCTGTTTCTTCCCTCTTCCTTGAGGACCAGCTGGCTGTATAGACCTGCCTTTCACGTGCAGGGTGTGGAGAAGGAGAAACAGCGGTGAAAGTCGCTACCGGCCATGCTGCCGGTGGTCTCCTCTCTTGGTCTCTGTCCCCAAAGCCCTGGCCTGCTGAATCATGGCTAAAGCCCATGGGCCAGCCCATGGGCAAACAGGGGTTGAGAAGGAGAGGACCAAGGAAGGTCCTAGATGGTAGTGGCCCTGTGAACCATTCTTTAGGACACCTGCCCCGCGCCACTTAAGACTGTCACGGTCACACCAAGCTCAGAAACACCGAGTCTAACCTGGAGCAGAGCAACTAGGGAGACGAGACAACTCAAGACAGTGGGTGCCCTGGCTCAGAGTCTGGGCCAGGAAGAGGAGGTTGGTGGGAAGTGAAGAGGGTTATGTATCTTCTTTTATTTGATAAAGGGGCTTGAACCCAGGGGCTTGAACTGAGCCTCATCCCTGGCCTTTTTATTTTTGGTTTACAGACAGCTCTTGCTAAGTCATTAAGTTGCCCAGGCTGGGCTACAACTTGGGATCCCCCTGCTTCAGCCTTCCAGAGCTCTGGGATCATAGGTGTGCACCACCACGCCTGGATCCAGGTGCGTTTTACTCCTTCCAGGTGTGCCTCAGCTCCCACATGGGTCTGGCACAGTGGAGCTGAGTGTTATTTCCAGTGCCCTGAACACACGCAAGGGGAGCAGGTGGTAGCAGGTTTGGTCCCGGCACACTTGGGCCTCCACAAATTACATTTTCCAGATCACAGACACGTTTAATGCAGATTCACACCAACCGCCAATAATGTCCACGGAGGGATTCCTTCCATCGGAAGCTGTCAGAAAAACTACACGGCAGAGCTACATCAAGGAACGTCGTCTCCCACCAGGAAGCACTACGGGATTCCCAGTGAGCCCACAGCAGCTGCCTGGTGCCATCGCCCTGACAGGTATCTTAGGAGAAGCCAGAGACTTTGGGCCCAGGGGGACACAGGGTAGCCGAGAACCTCTGGAGAGCTCTGACCCAGGAGTGGCCAGGCTTTTCTTTACCTGTACTATGAAAAGCACACAGACAGGAGGGGCCCTGCTGTGGCCACCAGGCTGACACCAGGCTCCCTGGGTGGCTTTGTTGCTGGTCACAACTCCACATGGTGGCCTTTGTCCCCCTGGCCTCCTCTGCCTTCACATCAGGCCGTGTGATTCTTGAGCTGTTTGGGGAGTTACTAAAACGTTTGCATTCAGATTTGGTGATCACAGAAATGTCCTGCCATGTATCCCCTGTCCAGTCCCTCTTCTCTGCGGATGAGGAAATGTCAGCTCAAGGGAAATGCACAGCCCCCAGCACGCCCCCCACCAGGGTCCCTGGCCCGGCTCGCACGGCCCAGTCACCCTGTTTGTACATCCTCCCGCTGCCTGTCCAGGCCTGTGACCTTCGCGACTCCAGTGTCCACCATCTGGGTCTACCTTTGTCACTGGACTGGACATGTCTGGGAACTTTCAGTCCCCTCTCTGTCACCGTGTCCCAACCCTTCTGTGTACAGCAGGCATCTCCCACTGGGAGCCCGTGAGCCCCGAAAGCCTGGTGTCTCTCACTGCTTCCCTTCCAAATCCCCTTGTGGCCCCAGAGGAGGTATGGCTCGGTCTCCCCAGGAGGCGGTCTCAAGAAAGTCAGCTTTAGAACTTGAGGACTTGGGTGTACACTCCGGTTATGGCTCTTGCCAATTCTGTGGCTGGAAGAAAACACCAGCCACTGTGACCCTTGGTGTCTTTTGGGGCTTGTGACAGGTCAGGAGTCACAGATGTGTCCTTGAAAGAGGCGGTTAGCCCTGCCTGGGAGCCCTGCCCAGTGCAGATCCTTAGCGCACCTATGCACTTGCACCCCCGTCTCTCCACCTGCTGGGGAAAAGCCTCTCCCTTCCCTCATCACTTCCTGCGCTCCCTGGATTTGTCGGCTTCTTCCTTTTCTTTCATGCTTGAATTGCAAACTTCTCTTGGGCTGTTACAAGACGATCTTACCGGCTGGGTGACTTTGTGTCAAGCCAGCTGGAACCAGAGGTATCTCCTCTGCCCACGGGAGGAGCTGATGGCCACAGCGTCAATCACAGGAGATCGGCAGGCACACTGGGCCATGGTGGAGCTGCCACCCACTGCAGGGCTGATGTCAAAGTCTGGCCACTGCCGTGCTCCATCCAGATCCTTTTGCAGAGGGGCAGGAGTAGAAACCTGCAGCCTTGCCGTGGGTCTGCGTACACCTGCCTCAGCCTGCCCCAGCAAGGAAGAACAGCAAGTAGGCTGGATGCTTCTGTTGCTCCCAGTTCCAGCCAACCCTGTGTGTCCCTTCTGTGGGACTCTAACTGCCCTCACACTCAGCCTGGAACCTACCCCCGTCGCCGGCCACCACCCTCCTGATACACTGGGAAAAAGGCCCGGGTGAAAGTATCACACAAGACTTAATTCAAGTCTAGGCGACCTCCGTGCAGCCACCATGTCAGCGCACAGAGCATAATTAGATGTGACAAAAAATCCGTCTCCCCACCCTGCTTCCACTTCAATTCCCTAATTGTTTTACCAGAAAATAACTGTTTATATGGACCGCAATATGTTCCTCCTCGTGTCCTTGTGTGGCTGACGCAAACTTCCCACCAGCCCCCGATGCCAGCCTGCACCGGAGTCTCCTATGTGCTTGGACGCCCTGATCATGGGAACGGCTTGATTAAATCTGTAAGGATCTGAGAATTTATTCCTCTTGCTCCCTGGGCTCCAACAGTCTCACACCCTGCTTCAGAACAATAGCAGGATGGTCTCTCCCAAGTGGGAGACGATGGGGCCCTGGAGCCAGGTCCTGTGGGGTCGCTGGCCCTGTAGAGCCTCTGTTTTCTCGATGCCCGGCTCCCACCAGACCCAGCACCGTGGGCACCCTTATCCTGGACCCGTAGTCGGCACAGCTCTGTTCTTCACATGGGAGCTGCACACTCTTGGACCTGGACCTGTCGCTCCGTCCGGGTGAGGCTGTCCACACCAGGCCACGTGGGATGGGGCGGTCACCCCACTTTGTGCTGTGGTCTTGTCCTGGCTTCCTGGCAGCCCCAAATACTGAAGTGGCTAGAAGGTGGGAGCTGATTTTTGAAATATTTTGTGCATTTGGGAATGGCTATCAGTGATAATTTACCTTTCCAAAGCAGAGCAGCCACCTTCAGAATACAGAGAATGTTCAGTAGTGCTTTTAGCTAAGGAGAGACCATTTCCCCACCTTTGTGTGTGCAGCTTTCCATTTTCTTTCAAGTACACCGGACTGACCAAGTCCTGTCCCGCCTTCTGCTCCCAGGAGCCTCAGAGTAGCCCTCGCACTGCCCGCCCTGTCCCAGCAGCTGCCGTCTGACCTCTCCGGTCTCCCACTCCATTCCGTGTTGCCTGTGTGGACCCACTTTGACGTCCTGCGTGAATATAAAGTGTGTGAAATATTTTTATTTCCTGGCTCTCTTTCTCCCACATATCTTTATTTAATCCCCAGAATGTGTTATGTTGTGTGTGTTCTCAGCTTATGTTTTTACATTTAGAATAGTTTCGCGTGTTTCTCACAGGGATGAGGCACTTTGAGCCAACTTCAATTTTCTAATTCTGAGTTTGGAAATGAAACTTTGGACCGAAAGAAATGGAGCTTGTGTGAGACCTGTCAGTGGCCCTGGCAGCTGGCCAAGGAGTCTGCGGGGTGGGGGTATCGCGTGCTCTGCTTTTCCGTCCACGTTCTGCACCTGTGTCACGGGCTGCAGTTGTGACTACTGGTAGCTGGGGAAGGGAGCATTTGAACGTGTATGTTAGACTGTGTGTGTGGCGTGTGTGTGAAGAGGTGGCCCTCATACGCATGGGCTCCAACCGCCGACTGAAAATACTAGAATTGCTTTTGTGCTGAGTATGTACGGACTCTTCTCCTCTTGGCTCACACAGGGAGAAGTGTGTAGGCTGCGTGGAAACACGATGCTGAATTCCACGAGGGGCTTGAGGGCACGTGCTGTGTCCTGGGCCAGTCCTGATCAGGAAGAGAGGGGCTGCTTCCTGACTCTCCTTGGTTTTCTGGCTCTCATCAAACTTCACTCCTTCCTTGGCAACGTCCTGAAACCTCTTCCCATCAAACTTGGGAAGGGCCTGGATGTAGGCTCTATGAGGTAAATGACTTCATAACCCTTCTGCAGAAGCCGCTCAGCAAGTGGAGAAGACTCAGCCTCTGGATCTGGCCACGAAGTAGATGTTATCCTCTTTTTCCTTCATTCTTGCCACACACTGATCTAGACTAGTAATGTCGCTTGGAGGATGGGAAGACTCCAGCCGAAGAAGTTTAGCAAGAGGAGTGTGGTTCGAGTGGTCTTCAGTCACACCAAGCTCGATGCTGGTACCAAGTTCTTTCCACAAAGTGTCCTTGTATTTCTCATCAGCAGTGTTCTTGATCATGTCCAGCAGCAGAGAAGGAATTTGAGCCTCTGCCCAACTGGTGAAAGAAAGCCCTTCAGGTCAAGGTTGAGAAGACCGTGGTGTCGCAGCCCTGATAGCGTCTCCAGTACAGCCAGACTGGCAACCAGGAGGGGAATCACAAGGGTGCAAGCGTACCAGACGCCAAGGACATCTCCACAAAATACTATGCCAGCCAGGAGAAAACAATGGGCCGAACCCCAGGCGCGCCCTGGCCAGAGACAGGATCGGGCGAGTTAAGGAAGACGAAGATGACAAAACCCTTCTGGATCTGGCTGTGGGTCTGTTCTAAGCAGCGACTCTCCGGTCGGAATCTCTACTGCCGGACACGGGAGCCCGTGAGACAAGAGAAGAGAGCTTCGTCTCCGTCCAAACACTGCCCCGAAGCAGAGGCTGACGAGGAAGCAGAGGAAGAGCCGGGAGACGCAGGGGAAGACACGAAACAGTAGGACGTGGGGCAAGGCGAGGAGGAGGAAGTGAACGTGGGCAGATGGCGAGGAAATCTACAGCAAAAGGGCCGAACTGCAAATCGGCGGCCCCTGCGTGAGGAGGGAATGTGAAGTCCTTTCTTTTGATAGAGACTTGATTTGGATGCTCCCCACCCGTTTCTCCCCCGCACTGTAAAAGGCTGGAATTGTCGGTCACAAGAAGAAGTGATCTTTTCAGTTGAAGTTTTTTTTTTTTTTGGTTTTTTGAGACAGGGTCTCATTATGTAGTTGAGACATAACCTGGAACTCACTCCGCAGCCAGGTTGGTCTTGAACTCACAGAGATCCTCCTGCCTCAGCCTCCCTACTGCTGGGATTACAGGTACGCGCCACCACACCTGGCTTCAGTTGAATTTTTTAACATTCCTCCTGACTGGAGATTTGCACTGTTTAGCTGGATGTTCTTGGTGTAAAATCTTGTCAGGTATAAAAATATTTTTTTAAAGAATCCCCCCCCGGAATAACAACAACAACAATAAAAAAGAAAGCGAAGGGTGACTCTGTGTATGTGAACGTGTCTAGTGTCCACAGACCGCAGCTCCCATCCCCTTGCAGGCTCTGTGGTTGGCTGCATCTGACAGATGGCCGAGTGCCCCCTGCCAGTTGCTGCTAAGTTATCAGCGGGGTCAGCCCAGGACCAGGCTGTGGAAAGAGGTGAGTGTTCCCAGGTGTGCTTGGGGTGTGGCTTCCTGTTCCCCCAGGCCTTGGATGGGGCCACTGCAGCTCCCTGGATCTCCTGGTTCAAAGCTTTTATGCTAGGACACTTTGTTACAACTGCGGTCACCGTGTTCTGCAACAGATCTCTGCAGGCGTCCTCCTGTGCAGCTGAAGGTTTGCATGCTTTGGTTAACAAGGCCTCCCCTGGCCCCTTCCCCCGGCCTTGGTAAGCACACCTGTGCTGTGAACTCTCCATTTACATTGTACACATTGCTGAGGTCATGCGGTATTTGTTTCTCTGTGCTGGGTTCATTTTCTCAGCATAATGTCCTCTGGGCTCATTCGTCTTGTCCTAAATGAGGAGATTCCCTTCTTGTTTATGGATGAGTAATACTCACTTTTTTTTTTTTTTTTTGTACTAGGGATTGAACTCATGACCTTGTGCTTGTGAGGCAGGTAGCGGCACCATTAAACTAAATAAATCTCTGGCCCACCACTGTTCTTTATACCATGCTTTTTTTTTTTTTTTGAGACAAGGTCTCTCTTAGCAGTTCAGGCTGACATTGAACTCATGGTGATCCTCCTGCCTCAGCCTCCTGACCTCTAGGATTACAGATGTGTGCCACCACACCTGACTATACCACACTTTTTTATCCATTCATCTGGCCTCTTCCTGGGCTCATCCGTGCCCTCGTGGGGTGTCCAGTTCCCAGGCCAGTGTTGGCACACTGGGCATCAGAAGTGCCTGACATTGAGGCTGCTTTCACTTCCTGCTACTGTGATTATTGCTGCCATGGGCATGGGGATGCAGGTGTCTCCCTGAGGTGCTGATTAGTTTCCTTGGCCATGAACCTGGAAATGGGGTAGCTGGTAGCTCTACTTTTAGTTTTTTGGGGACCCCTCAGTTTCTCATAGTGGCCATCTTGGGGTGCATTGACCCCTGCACTGGGCGAGGCTGGCTTGCCCCGTGCCCTCGCCTGAGCTTGCTTTCTCTCCTCTTTCTGATGAGAGGCCCCTGACAGGGAGTCCATCCACTGTGGCTTTAACCATAAGCAGGTATGGCGGTGTACATGAAAATGAGCCCAGTGCGGCCACCCCACACGAACACTGACTGCAAAACATCACACTTGCCCCCCACACACATGCCATTTCTGCCAACTAAAAATGAAAAAAGGTAGATATCATACAGGGCACAGTGTCCAGCCCAGCTGCCACCTTGGAGACCAGAAAGTCTTAGCTTTGTATCCTGCAGTCTCTGGGGTGACCACCTCCATCTTGGTTACCTTCCCATGGGACTGACCCGTGTCACCTGGCTGGCTCGGGCTCAGGTGGAGTGGAAGGCGCTCACGGTGAACACAAGACATTCCTGCCCCTAGGGAAATCCAGGTATTTTCTGAGTCCTGCCAGGAGCCAGGGATCCAGTCAGAGTACAGACTTTTGATATGCCCCAGGCAGACATTTCGAGAATGTTCCTGTGCATATACACCTGCTGTAAACGAAAGCACCTACTTGGATTGAGCGGTTTTACATACATCCAGCAGCATCGGTCCAGTTCCACAGTCAACACCACCTGAGAGTGCTGTAAACGAAAGCACCTACTTGGATTGAGCGGTTTTACATACATCCAGCAGCATCGGTCCAGTTCCACAGTCAACACCACACCTGAGATCCCTTCCGTTCCCCCAGGGTCTTGGTGCCAAACGGCCCATTAGCCCCTGAGCTGCAGAAGTCGATGGCGAGTCTTCTGGAGGGACCCTTGGGTGGCTGCCAGTGCACTCCTCCCTCTGGCGTGTGAGAGACAGCCAGCTGGGAATGTCCAGCCACAGATAAGTCACCTCATAGGCCTCCAGCCATTTGCCCAAGCAATGTTTTAGAAAGTTTCTCCATCCCCCAGACTTGGCGGGTCTCCTCTGACGATTTTGGTTTCTTGGCAAAATGGCTTCGCACTGGGTCCTGTGCGCAGTCGTGGGGCTCGTGTTCTTTCTGAATTTTCCATAAATTTTAGTTGTTGGTAGAAGGCGGGAGGAAGGCACTGCCTGGCAGGAAAGTGACCTGAGGTGCGCTGAACAGGCAGGAAGGATCATCTTAAAGCCCCGTGTCCCCTGTTATACTCTTCCAGGACAGCCCAGAGATGTGCAGTCGGCCCCGTTTCTTTTCCACTCTTCTAAGGGCGTCCTGGAGCCCGGTCACCTTCCCTCTCTAGGGAAATTCCAGCCCTGCCTGGTGCCGAGTGGCAGCTGAGAACTGGAGATCTTGGCGGTGCCCACAGCTCTAACTCAGCAGGATGCCCATCCCCAAGGCCTGTAGTGGAGGTGCCACACCCTGCAGACAATGCTCAGGGTCCAGGATGCAGGGAAAGGGACTCCCCCATGCTGGCCTCAGCACAGAGAGGAGAAAGAAGGCTCTCAGGTACTGCTGTGTCTTCCCCACCCCGGGCCTGTGTCTCTGAGGCCCCTGCATCTCACACAGAGAGAGCCCACCCCAGCGGCTCCCACACTAAGTGTTCCGCTGGACTCCCAGTCCCTCAGTGTCCTGACTACCTTGGAGTTGGCACCAGATTGACCCTCAGAACATACAAAGACTTCCAGCACGGTGCTAGGGGAGGCTTCCTCCACCATCTCTGTGCAGATGACTGCTGGTCACGTGCTTCCCAGGCAATGAAGGGGCACAGGAGGACCCCACTTTCCTGTTGCTCATGGGGACACGCAGGAAACACAGTCACACTTCCACACTCGAAGGGATGGATGACATCCGCTTCATTCCAGCTTCTCTTTCGGTTTCTGCAAGGCCTTTCTCCACCCTGGGGGAGGAATAGCATGGGAGCAGCTCAAGTCTGCAAAGGTTTCCCAACTGAAAAGGACGATGACCTCCTGCCAGGTCACAGACTCCCTCAGAAGCCTGGCGGGTGGCCCTAGGGGCTCGTCCTGTAGGTGAGCATGGGTCAGGGACCAGAGGTGACCTGTTAGAGGCCACCCTGACCCAGGACACTAGTCAGCACTACAGAACGCTTCTTCCTCTGTGAAAAAACAAAGTCAATGAGGCATTAAACACCCATGTTAAAAGGTGGTAAAGTGCTGGGCGTGGTGGTAATTCCAACACTCAGGAGGTTGAGGCAGGAGGACCAGTCTGGACTGCAATGTAAGATGTAGTATTCAAAAAACTAGTGATGGGCTGGGGATGTAGCTCAGCGGTGATGCACCTGCCTGGCAGGCCCAGGAGCCCATGTTCCGTACCATGTCCCCAGTACAGGAATAGGAGGAAGTGAGAGGGAAGAGGAACGCTGCACGTGCAAGGTCCAGATGCCCTGCGAGCCCTGTTAGCTGGGCAGCGAGGTTCTGCAGCTCTTTCCTGCCTCCCGGCACACCCCCTTGGCTTCCTCTCCTCTTCTACTGGTTCCTGCTCATCACCCTGATCCCAGTCACGCTTGCTGGGTGAGCAGAGGGGTGCCCAGAGGGGCTGTGGGAGTGGGAGGGACACACTGTGGGCTTGCCTGGCCTTTGGAGGCATCACCAGAAAGCACTGAGCCCAGTCATGGTGGCCTGGTGGGCTGGGCGGAATCCACCCTCAGTCCGGCCAGGGAGAGGGACCATCCCAGATCAGCGCCACCTCTGTCCCCAGGGAGGATGCCTGTGTCCCAGGGGGAGCCTGAGCAGCGATGGGAAATCCAGCTCAGCTGCTGTACGCAAAGACCCCAGTTGTCCTTTGGGAAGATCTTGGCCTGTGGTAACTTATATAAGGTGGGAGCCCTAGGCGGCTGTCCATGTTTCCTCCACCACAGTTGGGAAAAGTGGTCCTAAGATACCTCTCCTGTGCCCACGCATGAGGGGAAGCTTGCTCAGCCTTTGCTGTCCCTCTGCGTGGGAATGACAGGCTTGCCACTGTGGCGTGGGCACTGCCTGGGCCCGCCAGCCCACACCGGGCGGTGTGTGGACAAATGCTGGTGGCCTCTTGCTGATGTTACATCATGGTAGCCGCCTGGAGACATTCGCAGTAGACAGGCTTGCCCATTGATGGACCTGTGATGAAACTCAAGTTCCAGATTAATCCTTAGAAGCAATAGAGCTGAGCCGGGTCCAGCAAAATAGAGCCACATTCAGCTCGTTTTGTACAGGAGCCTCTACCATCAGGAGTCCCAGCTCTCACCTCTAACTGCTATCCGTGACCCACAGAGGTGGCTAAAGAGCTGTGGTCACCTCTCTGTGAGATGGGCTGCTCGGTCTGTAGCAGCAGCCTGATGATGCGCCCATTGCCAGGGTGACAGGCCAGGGAGGCCACAGGGTGACATGTTAGGTGGGGACACACTCTGAGGGGACCGTGGAGAGCTGGTGTCCAGAGCAGGTGCAGAGCCATCCCTCACCCCCAGGACTTCAGCTCTGGTCTTGTCTCAGGGGTCCTGGAGATGGCGTCTGCCTGTGGCTCCCTGCGCAGACCGACCCAGCCTCCAGGGCCTCCAAGAGCATGATTTCCAGAGGAAGCTCCCACTTCTGGTCACCATCAGACCAGCACTGTGACCTCCTGAAGTGGCCACTGCAGGGAGAGCTCTAGAACTCGAGCCACGGGCAGTGTTTCTC